CCCATATTTGACACAAATATTATTTAATAGCTGACGATACAAATCAAGATTATTTCCTTTCTGATGTAGAAGATCAGAATAAGCTGCAACTACAGAGCATACTCAGACAGAATCTTGACTCAGTTACCAAGATAAATCTTTTCTGATGTGGAAGATCAGACTATGCTGCAACCACAGAGCATACTTAGACAGTACCTTGGCTCTGATACCAATTGTTGCGGAAGCCAAATGTATATAGTGTGAATAAGTCACAACTACTATACCAAAAATTATGACAGCCACCAAATAATAAATAAGACAATAAAACAACAATAAAGGGAACACCAGAATTTACGAGGTTCGGCTAATTTTGCCTACTCCTCGGACACAACCAATATTTTATTTCACTCCAAAAATACAAGTGAAATAATACTAAAGAGAGAAGATACAAATGCCTTAAACAGATGAGAAGGCAAATGAGAGGTGTGTTTAAATCCTAAACATTAAGCCTTCTTTTATAGGGGGAAAATCCCCCCAACTATTGCTAACCCACCGATGTGGGAATCTGAAATTTTGACATTTCAACAAGAACAACCACAGACTCCTCCTTTACACACACCAAAACAGCTGCTCAAATAGCCATAAAAATACCTGTCTCTATAAAAAAACGCAGCCAACAAAACATAAAACTTGTTGCCTTCTTCTAGCCAAAACTGACGTGAAATCAATCCTATAACAGTCAAAACACCAGCTCAAAACAACATCAAAATGCCACTGAAATGCAGCAGTTTCGCTACCCTTAAACCAGCTCCTCTTCCTCTGTAGGTGGTCATAAAAACAGCTGAAATTTCATTCACTTATCCTATCTCAATTTGATCTTGCTAGCATAATGAATGATTCTAGTCAGTTGTTGCTCTTCGGTGTTATTCCGTCTTTGTTTATCGTCTCAATTTATTCATCTATTTTCTTGGAGATATGTATTTCCTTTATGAGTTTCATTGAAATCATTTGGATAAGTTCATATTAATCTTTTACTGCTTTGGATTAAGTGACCTGCTTGATAGAATTATTAGATTGGTGTATTAACTTAATATGACAGTAAGTTTGGTTTAGCTAATTGGATTTTGGGAGTTGATTGATTATGTTTGGGTTAGTTTGGGTTTGATAGGCTTCAAGAGGAATTGGGCATGAACGCAACGCTAATCTATTGTCTATATTTATTCCATAATTGTAACAGTCAAATCTTATACCTATCCATAAATGACTTCCATACTCTTACGGCCTCACAATAATCTCAAAGTTTAGGAAGAATAATGAACACCGTTAGAGTGTTTTAGGTGCGTTTTAAATTTGTTATCGTGATTGTGTACACATTTGTGTGACATAATTATGATTCCCAAAATGAATCAAGGTACGCGTTCGTGCGATCTTGACCAAACAATCTTGATATAATAAATTGTTTAATTGTGTACACCTACTCATGACATAGTTTTTGACACACCAAACAAAATGAATACACGTAAGCGTGATTCGTTTCCAGATAATTCCATAATTACAAACAACAAGTAATTTAAAAGCGGTAAAAGGTTAAACACGCATAGGCTCTAAAACACGTATTTAAACAATTAATTGAGCTAGGAATGATTAAAAGCGACCATGCTAAAATCACGGAACTCGAGAGTGTCTCACACCTTCTCCCGTGTTAACAGAATTCCTTACCTAGTCTTTTGTGTTTCGCAGTCCGTAAAACAGAGTCAATTTCCTCACACCATAATAAATATTCCAAGCGGCGACTCTAACTAAATAAGTAATCCTATTTCGATTAATGTCACTTTAATTGGAAAAACTCCTTATTCCTCGGAAAAAGGAGGTGTGACAGCGGTAATCTTTTTGTTCTTGTACATTCATATATCAAGATTTATTAACCTTTTATATCTTTTTTCTATTTTGAAATGGTGTTTTTTTTAATTAAAAATTAAATAGATCAAAGTATTACTTAGATTTCATATTTATTTTTGCGTTTAATTATTAAAATTCGATTAAACTTGAAAATATACATCTCTAAAAAATTTTTAGAGTAAAAAAATATTTATCATGTATTACTAAGAAAAAAATTCTCTTGTAAGAATATTCTAATAGATCATTATAGAGAATCTTAGTAGCTTAGTTGATTAACTATTTGAATTTTTACTTTATTGGTGAGAGTACGATTCCCCAACCTGTAATCCTTTCTCTACCCATACCGATATACAAAGATCAAATCGATGTAGTTGATTTAGTTCGGTTACGATAAAAACAGAACCAACCCGATTCATGTACGCCCTTAAAGCAAAAAGAAAAAAAAAACTAAACGTTCCATTTGCATTGTAGAGAATATACCTAAAACTAGAAGCAAATGTTATTATAGAAAAATAAAGTTTTATACCGAGGATTTTTTTTCTTAGAAAAGAAAAATCAAACGATTTTTAAGAAAAAGAAAAGGGAGATTCAGTACGAGGTATAATTGAATTCTTATACCAGTTGAGAGGGTTTCCCGCTTGCCACTTCTTGCAACCTCTTTCTCCGGCAAATCCACTTGTAAGTTAAACCCTAATCCCTATTTTGTGCTATTTTTAGTGATAGAATCCGAATTTATGAATTGGTTTTCATTGCTTTTCTCGAAATTAGGTTGTAATGGCTATGTAATTTCTCTCATTAATGTGAGCAATGGCTCTCAAGTCCTTTTTCATACTTCCCCGTGATATTAAAACATCAGTATTTTAGCGTATAAAAAAGTACGTTTGAAATATCTGGGTTAGGTTGCTCACACCTCGACTATTCCACTGGTACCTGTTACCTCCTACCAGAACAGGTATCATATCACTCTGCCTATCAAGACTAAGGCAGATGTAAAAAGATTACCTACTTAGCTAGCGCTTGGACATAGATTTAGTTGAAACTTGAAAAAAGTTGTGTTGAAAAATAATTTTTAGAAGTTGAAGTTGTGTTTGGTCAAGAAATAATTTTTCTTTCACTTACAAAAACTGTCCTAAACCAATTTTTGGGAACTTGAAATTTTTTAAATTGCCTCCCCCCCCCAAAAAAAAAACATGATCATATTTCATAAACAAAATAATGTTTTCAATATTTTTTTGAAATAATGAAGCCAAAATCTATGGCCAAATGGGAGCTTATTGTTTGCCTCCGTTTGGATTTGAACTCGAGACCTCATAGTCAAAGAAATCCATGTTTTTTATGACGGTGCTGTCCTGGTCAGCTTGCTCACACCTCGGCTATTCGACTGGTTACTTGCTACCTCCTGGAAGAGGTACTAGATAACTATGCCTACCAACGCTTAGGTAGATGTGAAGAAATCACCTACTTATTGTTTGCCCCTGCTGGAATTTGAACCCGAGACCTCATGGTCAAAGAAAACCCCGTTTTTGTGAAACTTAGCGGCCACTTATTTTTCTTCTTTGGAGGAAAGAAGAGTTTATGGAAAAAGGGAAAGAAAAATTTAAAAAGAGGAGTCATGTGATAAATACTAGGAGCCGTTACTAGTGGATGGAAAACTTAATTGATGGGTGTATTTTGTTTAACTGTGGGAAGCTTAAAGGATGTTTTGATGTAAGTGACCGTATTTTAAGGATGTAGTTAAAGTTAGAGTGAAGCAATAGAGATAGTTCGGTTGATAAAGAGCTTACTGCCTCGCCCTTTATAGTTGCGATTGTTTTCATGGAATTTTTTTTGTTATTTCTAGTCAAATGGTCAAAAACTCTTATGGGTTCTCTATGAATTTGCATAAATGTTTTCGTGGAACATTTTGATATCTGAAAATATGGAAACAGGTTTCACAATTGCCTTATCTTGATCGTTTTGGTTTGCGCAATCGATTGTGGTTGAGCCATAAGCGCACTCTTAAAATATCTGTTGACACCATCTTGGTGTACTACGAACAAAGTGAAATTCATCGATCGATCGTAAAAATCCATATGTATAGCTTATGCAGTTCTTAGCCGCACTTCATTGTAGGTGGACAAAATTGAGACACTATCTCCTCGGCCTTGTGTAGGAATAGTTTAGTTATAGTTCAGCAACTTTTTGGGGAGGAAGATGATGGGTCAATGCATCCACACACAAAACAAGACTGTTTTTCTTTCGACGAACAAACAAGGCAGTCTAGTGTTGCCATATAATCAACTTCTAATCTAGTAGGACAAAAGTTTTTGTTTAATTGATCGTAATTATTATGGATTATATAAATCTTGACAGAGTTATGCGTTATTTGTGTTAGTGAAATAGTCGAACATCCTTGTCGGAGAACAAAATTATTTCCATGTATGCTTGCTTAAAAAGTAAAACAACTTGGTATTGTTTGAAAATGGATCTTTATGAGCCATGTCTGATAGTCTTTCTTTTGCAACTCCATCAATTTTAGCCGCTTCACATGTGTGTATTTTTGTTTGTCAAACTTGGTAGATTTTTTGGTGTACATCTTACTACAGAATAAGGAGGCATGTTTTATTTGAGTGAAATAGAACACACACTGAGATTGCCGCCTCATCTCCTAAGCCTTCCACTCAATGAATCAATCAGGGGAGAGCTTGAGGGTCTCTTTGTGGATAAGGTTTATTTTCTTCTCTATTGATTCTGCATTTCTGTTTATTTGGCATCATTACAAGTGGCTAACTTTTGTACAATGATGCAAGGTTATTGCAAATTTGGGCCTTTGCGTCTCCGTTTATGATATTCGCTCCATAGATGGCGGTTTTATCTATGCGGGAGAAGGTGCCTCAACATATACGGTATTGTACTTGTTACTGCAATTAAGTGTACTTTTTTAACTTACATGGATTGAACAAACAAGTGGCATTTTCCCTCCCATTTTCTACTCCCCTTTGATTATTCTGTACCTAGAGCTTGTTGAGACTGTTTCCGCCTTTCTGGGTTAATGTAAAATAGTTTCAGGTGATAAATTCTTTGGCATTATGAGTATCACTGTGCCGTTCTGCGGTTCTGAGAATTGAAAGTGCACTATTTCCTGCTCTATTTCTGATGGGGATTAGGGGATTCATTCCTGGACATAGATCCACACCCACACAACTTCGTCCTAAACTAAATCTCCTCCACTTTCTCAAAAAATAAAAATAAAAAAATAAATCTCCCCCT